TTACCTTTACCGAGTACCCGTACTTCGTTTAGCAATTTTCCTCTGCACGTACGTGTACGTGAGGTAGTCGGACGCACACATCCTTGCACCGTCAGCAGTGCAAGGTTTATTTTCAGTTAGCTGAACAAGGTGTGCCCCGTTACAATAGCCATATGTAGCCACGTTGAGGGATAGCTCTAAATGCACCTAAGTTTACCGTCAATACAATTAAATGCCGTTCAGGCTAATCAATTATCTTACCTCTAATATGCCAACACTTCTTAAAGAGCACCCATTACTTAGAAAATGAACATCCATGTTGAGCAAGAGATCATCCATCTACTATAGACTCTCTGCTTCTTCCTTACATCAACCTCCTTTATAGCGCAGAAATCGCAACCTTCCGTTGTCTTGATTTTCCATGTTCGGAGACTTGTCCATTAGCAACTGCGCAAGAGCAAGCCGACGGTATGACGGTGAATTCTGACTGAATTATAGGATGGCGAAAACATCGTGGGCTTGGTGGATTAAAGCCTCCGCATTTGTTGTAGCGTAGCTACTATAATCCCTTAGTCAGAGGAAGACATCTAGACCCGTAGAGTCGCTTCGTACATGAAACTAAGCGGGTATTGATTCGAAGGGTCTGAAGTCTTGCAGACTTGATGAGACTTAACTCTAAGCGTATGTACAAGCTCTTAAGCTTCTAGTTCTGGTTCAGAGGACTACGACTCCAAGGAATCACGTGGCACTAATGCCCAAGAGTGCTTAGCCTTAACTCAGGGAGCAAATCTCATTATCAGGACCACAAATGTCCAAAAGTCCCAAAAGCAGGACTATAGTTTAAACAAGTCTAAAATTATTGATACTTAATGTTAGCCACATTATACTCAACTGCAACATGGGATAAGAAACTGCCTGATCACTAATGAGTCTATCCAATTTTTAGACAACTGTCGCGAGTGGTAAAAAAACGCCCTTTTTTACCAACGTTCGTTTACTTCTCAATTTGCGCCCACGAGCCGATGTGCCCATTTTGGTTTGGGCACATTGCGTGCGAGCCAGGGCCCGGTCGCATGCACCCGACGAGCTCGTGACCGGGGGACTCATTTATTACACCTTGCATTGTCAATTTTATTTAAAACAGTAATTCTTTATGTACGCGGTTGCAGCAACGCCAGTTCGAAAGGTTTTACCATAGGCCAGTTCATTAGTACCGTGATTAGTGTTAATTTCGATTGCTGCAGTCACTCGAGACATCTCGAAGACTTCTTTCAGTCCACTTCTTGCGCTTACGCTTAAACGCTCAAACTAACCATTCAAAATAAACAGTATGAGGTAGTGAACAATTTTTTTTAATGATCAATGCTTTTAAGACCAGTACTAATTTCTGAATATACATAACGCTTGTATTACACTTGACTTTATATTACGCCCTAGTCAGTCAAACAATTTGCTCGCACTGCAACATATCCACACGGACTTAGCACACAATCGTAAAGCAGGACACTCGACATTCCTTGAAACCACTCGACGCCGCTCTATATCAACGGACGCCACTTTACATCACTGGACTTTACTCGACATCACTTGATATCACACGACATCACTTAAAACGCACTGCAACACATACAGACAGACAAAGCATACGATCGTTAGACAGCACAGTCGACATCTACAGCATAATTATCTGCTACCGCTGCTCATGAGAGTTAATACAATAACGGAGTTTATCCGTCACGAGCTCGTCGGGTGCGTACGACCGGGCCCTGGCTCGCACGCAATGTGCCCAAACCAAAATGGGCACATCGGCTCGTGGGCGCAAATTGAGAAGTAAACGAACGTTGGTAAAAAAGGGCGTTTTTTTACCACTCGCGACAGTTGTCTAAAAATTGGATAGACTCATTAGTGATCAGGCAGTTTCTTATCCCATGTTGCAATTGAGTATAATGTGGCTAACACTATGCTAGTTTGCATACTCAATCCAGGTATAAATAGATAAATTTTAAACTTGATTAAACTATAGTCCTGGTTTTGGGACTTTTGGACATTTGTGGTCCTGATATTGAGATTTGCTCTAACTCAGGCTCTCAAATCTTACGACCAGAGACGTCATAGAAAGACACACATCTAAAACTGATCAATGGGGGAACCGAATATATATACCGATGTATAGCGAAAAGAAATCTTACTTACGTATTAAATCTTGTAACTATGCTACCTAATCGAATAGTCCTCATCGTAGTTCTTCTTGTGTACCACACCAAAACTACGTCGCCTCAATAAAGACCCTATAACGATAGATATCGTCTAACCGTAACGGATAGGGTACGGTATTATCGCTTAGCGTATGTGATACAAACGTACGCCTCATTAGTGACACTGATCCATTTCTGTGTGTACCACACGAATGTACCTGGTAATCACAACCGTTTGTGTTACCCCGTTATATTCGTTCTCCTGCACGATTTTTAACTTGGCTCTTTGGACGATGTTGGGGCATCACTTGCTCCCGAATTAATTCGTCTTTTTAAGTGGTTCAGTCAAATTTAAGAATCAAGAGAAAATAGGCATGGCAGTTGTTACATTATATTTTGACATACCGCATATACGCACATTACTGTACAGCAGCTTCAGATCGATGCATCCGGCCAAATGTGGCCATCATTTTGTCTCCTTCTCGTCAAAGATGATCGCGAGTTCATACAAACTGCCGACCATTATAGTGCCGCGGTCTCGCAAGGCATCAACCTTCTGTGGAATTATTGGTAGTTTTTTACTCGTGAGCAACAGAGAAAAATGCGCTTCACGCCGGGCGGGTTGAGGTCAAAACTTGGTGCATGGCGTCCTGCTTAACAGTCAAGACAAACCTTATCGACTTCTGAATGGCCCGACTGAGAGTGTTTTTGGTCTTTCCATGCTGGAGTGGGGCGGGAGAGTAACCGATTGTGTACACTTGTGTAGTTGAAGCCACGGTTGGACTTCGAGAGTCTTTCAGCAGGAGATGTTTAACGCGTCCCGTGTATTGCTGTAAATGCAGGTGTAACTAGCGTTACACCACGTGTAGTCGGCAAGACAAATGTAGTAAGAGGCCAATGGAGCTGCAACCTGACATGCAGCAATCGTACCACCTCGTTTCGAGCTGCAACTCTTCTGACGAATCTTGCAATGCAGTGACGTGGATTTCGTGCCTTTTGTTATCAGTGCGGACGCTGATATACACTGACCCCGAGGATTGCCTGACGCGAGCCACAATGCCGAGGACAACGAGGGACTCGTCGATCATGTGGCTTGTCGATTTTATCCCGAGTGCTCGTAGACGAGAGCGAATCTCCGTAGAGTTTTGCACCGAAAGACCGCACTACACCAAAAAACTACGAAGCGGGCGGTGGTACCGAGTTGCTACCATGTCAAGTCGAGGCAACAAATAGCTCGAAATGTCCAAGTTGACGCAGTGCAATTCTCGTCTTGACCTTGCCAGAGATTTATTAATCATACGAAAAGAATTGATGGTCAGGACATCGTCAATGAATTGACAGTGTAGGTGGACAGTACGTTATCGTAGCCACACGATCAAGGCCACTCAGTGCACACAGAACATCTACAGCAACTCACCAAATAGAACCTCTGCACACATGGCTGCTATCCGATGCGGTTTCGGTAGCCGACCAACTAAACACGATCCCTTCACATATGAACGATTGTTCTTGTATTTGATATGATGTGTTTCATGACTATGCAAGGTCATGAGAATGAGTCAGAAAGTAGGCTGAGTGCAGTTGTCGACAGGATGGAAGAATGCTCGGTGTACACTTTACACACTCATGTGCAAGTTGAGTCGCAAGTGGGGAGATGATTGAATGGATCGCCAACGGGGGTACTGGCACTCAAACCAGAGCTGTGAGCACTTTCCACCGCTTGAATGAGATTGTGGTGCTGGAACAGTCCGCAAGTGGTGGTGATCACGCAGCGCAATCATGCAGGCCCGCTCCAACACAAAAGGGTAAAGGTGGTCGAAAGCTGATCCTCGATAGGATTGAGGACCTTTTACTTGACGCCATCCTTATACTGATAAAGGAAGGCCGTAAAGTCATGCATAGCAGTAGTACACACGCTGCACTGTAAGAGTGACAGCTCAATATCTGCGACAAAGTTGCACAGCAAGTCGATCCCAGTTGTACATTTGGCAGTACGGCGTGTACGAAGCTCTTTTCCAACAATTGTGGGCAGCATCATCCTCGGCGTTAGAGGCTCGAGGCAAATGGGTTTGCTCGCCCCTACTCACGATGACACGGACATTTTGGATTAGTGAGCGGGCAGCACTTCGACGAGGCAGAAAGCTTTTTGCATCGTGGTTTGATTCTTATTCTGAGACTGTCCAGTATTGTGGAGCTGTCCTGATCACTGGTCTAAATTGTAAACGCCTCGACGCATCAGTCCTCCGTTTCAAAATGGAAAAAAGGTGTGGGGTTCTAAATAGTAGACGGCCGCGTACCATTCGGTGACATCTGATAGTCCAGTCTCTCCATCCTGCTTAGCTGTGGTGAGTAAGACTGTCTACGGATCTATCTGTAGAAGAAGGAGCGCGAGTATGCTGTGTGCATATCCGGGTGTGAAAGACCTTAGGTCAGCAGAACCGTTTAACGTGGAAAGTTATGCGACCATCGATCCGCATATATCGATGCACACAAATCTGGAAGATTTCGTTCTGCAGACTCCGTTTTAGTCGTAAAATAGTCGGTCAAACCTCTGTTTACCTCCATGTTTGTCACCCCGAAGTAAGTGGACCGAGCTCTACATTTGACAATCCAGACGCGCAACGTTTGATCGGAGCAAAGTATGAAGAGCGTACATTTCTCTTAGCTACAGGCACGACTCCACGCCATCTGATTGGCTGAAACACCGTGGCGTTCTGATAATTTAGATGGAACGCGTGCTGCAACGCACTCCGAAGATTCATTCTTCTCACACGCTATGATTGGTCGTCTTCATGTACCCTTTTCAGCCAATCCGATCCCCCTTTCATGTCCATGCTTGACAAGAACGCTCAGTCTTCAAAATCCCGGTTGAACCTCAAGATGGCCATGGGTACACTCCCGTTTCGACGCAGCCGCGCTCTATTACGCGCCACTCGGTCGCTGCACATTGCCAACGACATGACGGAGCTCATTGGCAACACGCCACTGGTCTATTTGAACCACGTAACCGAGGGCTGCCACGCCAAGATCGCAGTTAAGTGCGAGTTCATGGAACCCTGTGCGTCTGTGAAGGACCGAATCGGTCTGAGCATGATCAAAGACGCGGAAAAGAGCGGGCGCTTGACGAAAAGCCACCGTATCATTGAACCCACGAGCGGTAATACCGGTATCGGCTTGGCGTTCACCGCCGCGGTGAGGGGGTATGACCTCACGCTGGTGATGCCGGATACCATGTCCACGGAGCGTCGTATTTTACTCAAAGCTTTTGGCTGTGACGTGGTGTTGACTCCGGGAGCAAAGGGAATGACTGGAGCTGTAGCGAAAGCAGAAGAATTGGTCAAGAACGAAGCGGGGAAGGCGCTGACGCTCGGCCAGTTTGACAATCCTGCCAATCCTCAGATACACTTTGAAACAACCGGGCCGGAAGTCTGGCGAGATACCGATGGACAAGTGGACTTTTTCGTGGCTGGAGTAGGGACGGGCGGGACATTGACGGGCACTGCTCGGTACTTGAAACCCAAGAAACCAAGTGTCCAGATCGTGGCTGTCGAGCCGGAAGAGAGTCCGGTGTTGTCAGGGGGGAACCCATCGCCCCACAAGATTCAAGGCATCGGTGCCGGTTTCGTACCGGGTGTCCTCGAGCGCGATCTGATTGATGAGGTCATGACGGCCAGTGGTCCCGAGTCTTTTGCTATGACCAAGCGATTGGCGCTTGAAGAGGGGATTCTTGTTGGTCCGTCGTCTGGAGCTGCTGTCGTGGCCAGTTTGGAACTTGCCAGACGCCTGGAGAACAAGGACAAGCTCATTGTCACGATCTTACCGAGCTTTGGCGAACGTTATTTGTCGTCGCCTTTGTTTGAGAAAGAGCGCGAGTTTGCGGCCAATCTACGCACATCGGAGCTGCCCTGAAGCTGTGTGCAGTGTAGGGAGATGGGAGGTATCAACCATTCGTAAGGTGCTGTCTGGAGTTACAGAGCAGGGCACGTCGGATCTTTCTTGTGAGTGGGCTCAGAGGAGGCGGTTGCAGGACGAGAGCAGCAGCAATCAATTAATTTTAAACTGCTTCAATACCGTCAACATTGGTCGTATTCGAATGTGCGAGTCTCCTCACTCAAGCGCGTCCTCGCTCCGCCTGGAACTTCCGCAGCTGCCGCAAATAATGGAATTCCCTTAGCATGAAATTGACTTCCGCATAGTCACTGCGCACTGCTCTTGCTCGAGGTAGTTCCATGTTCGTCTCCACACTAACGGCTTCACCTGCTCGCCGGATCCCGTGAGCGCCTGCACAATAATGGGCAGCACGAACAATTATATTTATTACAATTAATTGCAATTATGGTGCGGAAGAATCGAATCGTACCGTCGTAATTGTAGGCCACGCGTAGCCGCTTCATTTCGCTCTCGATGGCTTCACCACCTTCTGATCGATTCTCATCCGGGTTTGGAGACATGGAGGTATCACTCTCTTCAGTGATCGAAGGTCGACGTTCGATCCATTCGCGTTTGCGGTTCATGACAACGTGATGATGATTCTTCCAGGAATTATTGTATTTCACAACTGCGACCGGTTTTTTTGCGCCTGCATTGAAGTCTCTGTTTCTGAGAGCTTAACTGGTTCGTTGTATTTGACACCTGCACAATTTGTGCAGTAAAGGTATAAAACTTATTGCAATACTTAGTGAGAACGTGTCAAGTAGTTTCTCAGGAGACTGAAAGCTCTAAATCAAGCAGATACGTGAAAACATTGTAAACAATTGAAACAACAAGAGACCAAAGACGTGGCATCTACAGCTCAGTAGACGAGAGCAATATCTAAGTCAAGCCGCATGGATTGCGACTCATGAGCAAGTACACGCGTTCAATTCGATACTTCGGACGAGAAGTGCCAACGACATCTACGCATTCGTTGATTCAAGTTCGTTTGGTGCGGTGACCAGCTTCCTGATGGGATCGAAACACTCGCGAGGACTACTCGGTAGTTGAGCAGTCTGAGCGATACAATAGCAACCACATGCAACTTGCTGTCGAGGCCAAATCCAAACTACAATCGAAGGCTGCTCTCCAAACGCTACATCACTAAACTGCCTTACCGTGCACCACAACATACCGAATGTTCTGGTGCTTGTGCAACGGTGCCCTATAAGCACCCAGACAAAGCGGTTTAGCTGTGGGAAGAGGGGTCGTATCGGAGTAAAAGTGATGACCCGTGATCTGGCTGGACAACTCTGCTCACTTTGTACCCACTGGTTCAAGCAGCGCATGAAGAACCACCGCCATGCCAATCAATGCCGATGGTAGGTCCTTTGCCGGCCAAAAGGGTGGTGAGTATAAGCGTACGGAACGGGCTTGTCGCGTTTCAGCTTTCATGCGAAGATACCTCATTCGGGTGCAACTGCTGTACTAGATTCCATTCATCGGATGTTCAGACATCTTGCACCCTCAATGGGTTCAGCACAAGCATCTACTGTGGATTTGGTGGTCGCTAGATCAGCGTCTTAATGGTGATGGCTTGTAGGGGAGATTCAACATGCAAACCAAATATAAGAGCTCACGAGGCTCTTATGGTACGAGCATTAGTCCCACACCCAAGTCGCGTACGGCGTCACGTATTATCTCCGTCGATCCAGTTCCACACTTCGGCAAGTTACTCCGTCTGCTGTCCAAGCGACCATCATCGCAGGTCCGTTGACGCTTTATGCGACCCACGAGGTTGTGCGATCGAGAGGCACTCGGGACGTGCTCTCGTTTTGTCGTAAACAGCGTGCGGGTGTAAGTACAGGTAATGGACACGTGGATTCGAACATGCTCCCGATTCTGGTTCACTTGCCCGTAAATCACAGCACTCAATGCATGCGCTGATCAAACTAGACACCAAGTCTTGATGATTGCGTGCTCGCCAATCTGAATGAAGGTTTAACATCTATTTGATTGAGCTACACTGACGCCCGTTCTGGTTGTAGTACGGGCTTTTATAACACCTGGTCGTAGTCTGCCTGTAATGCACCCGAAAACGGGCTTCGTAGCACCTTGCCTGCATGCGAGCCGCGGATTGAAGTTATAACGTACGCACTCAAGTACACGCTTCGTGATAAATAGACTGTCTTCGAGTCGCGCATCGTGGCGCTGTTTCTTTTTCTCGGCATCGCATGTAATTAGAACTCGCGTGACTTTTGGCACCAAGCATAGTTGTTCCAATCTACTTGTACACAGGATGATAACTACGTATCCATTCTTTTCATTCAGTAGCCTCTTCAGCAATAGCGTCGAACTGTAGTGCATGCTGCAGACTTTGTATATCTTGGCGGCGGTACTGCAACTAACGTCAACTCGCTAAAGTGCTACACTATGCATGATCTCTATCTCACTTTCTGATGACGTTGTGGGGGGGCTACATCTTGCTTGGTGAATGTAGCTTGATACGACGTGCTGCGTGCCGAAGTGACGGGAGGTAGAACGTGGTACTGCATCTTCAGTCCAAATCTCCATAATTTATTATGTAGCTAATCGACAAATTAAAAGCGGGACTTGTCTCGAAGCTGGTGGTGTGCGAGTATTTCTATCTGTCTTCCAGTACTCGCAAGTAGTTTTTGACGCAATTCTTATCGCAGTGGATTGCTCGAAGCTGAACATCAAGAAGCTGCACCATCGTCTTGAGCTGGACCGATGTCTTCGCTTCGCTATCACAAACGACACAGCGCATGAATATTCCTATCAAGAGGCATCATGTATAAATCTCTCTGTCTCGCAAATGTCAGTGTGCCCTTCTTAGACCACACTATTTGCTGCAAAGTACACACAGTTGCCATCTGCTTCTTCATTTAAGTACTCTTTGTATCCCTTTTTTATGCCTAGATTCGAACTGAGGCGGGCTGTCAAGAGAATTCACCAATGCGACATTCACTCCCCATCTTCGTGCGAAAAGTAATCATGAAGTAGCCAAAAAAGACGCGCTCGCACGTCAACTCCCTAACAAATCTTACACTTGTTCTATGTATCCATCAGCTCACCTTTCAAAAAACAGCCGGTTTCGCTGCACCGCCTCCGTATGTTTGCAAATTTCTCTGATGAGTGTCGACTTTCACATGACGACAAGAATCCATACCCCGTCAAAGTCGTTGTCCTGCCGCGCCACAGTCGACCAAAACTCGCTGCGTTCCTGCATAGCCTGTTGAAACTGATTCGTCACCGGCACGCCCGCCCCAGCCCAGCACGAGGACCGCAAGTCGTCGTCCCATGTCGCTGCAGCAGTCCGAAGCCATCGCGGATCCCGCGCACGTCTCGTCGTCACAACCGCCGTCCATGTCTTCAAGACCGTTGTCGCCAAGCGGGTCCACCACGCGTGTAGCCATTCGTCCCCCAACGGACGCGCCCCCACACGACGTCCCCTTGCGATTCCATTGGGAAGGTTACCTTCAGAAACGCAGTGATTGGCTAAAACACTGGGAAACGTACTACTTTGTGTTACGCCGGCGGTCGCTCTACTGCTACTTGTCGCAGGACGACGCGCGACGGGAGAACGCCAAATCCAAGATCAAAAAAGGCAAGTTCGGCTTCTCGGACCGCGTCGTGCTGGTCAAAGCGTGGGACGTGGAGAAGCAGCACCGGACGCGGCCGGCAGGTAGCGACCCGGCCGCCGAGCCCCTGCACGTGAAGCGGCCGAGTCGAGCTAGTGTAGCCAAGTCGCTGCTGGACGCGTCGTTGTTCCGGTTCACTTTGGCTACGCACAAGGGCCACCACTTGCACTTCCGGACTACTTCCGAAGCCAGCAAACACGCGTGGCTCCAGTTTGTAGCCAACGCTATTGCCGACCACGACCTCTCGGGTCGCGTCCATTCCGTTGTGCAGCACCTTCGGACGAACGTCGTTGACTTTTACAAAGGCTACGAGTACTTTTACGCGGCGCTATGTGCCCGCGTGACGGCAGAGGAAATGGGTACATTACAGACGGACCTGTCCCCGTCGTCTGCAGCGGCTATGTCCGGGGTATCTGGTCAACGGTCGACTTTTGAGGACATTGACAGGGCTAGTGTTACTTCAGCTGGCAAAAAGTCGACGGCGTTGCTTGTACCGGTTTTGCCAGACCAGCCACTGGCCAAGACAGATGTGCTTGCACCCATGGACCACGTGCTGGTGCGTTTCTTCTCGCTGTTAAAGTCCGACGTGGTCTTACGCAGCAATTACTTGCCCATGGTGCCATTTGAAGGGAAGTACCGCGGCTTTGGCGGGGTGCTCGAGTACTTTACGAGGCTGTCGCAATCAGTTCAAGTAGAGCAGTTTATCGTCGAGAGTATCGAGATCGAGGAGGATCCTGACGACAAAGACGAACGGAGGCACGAGAACTGCCCGGAATTCAACAGTCGAGCTCGTCGCCATTGTGTTGTCGTGATCTCTGGACGGGAGACGATGCAGGTGCGATATTGCCGGACTGCATTTGTGCAGCAATGGACGCACAAGCTATACTTTAAGCCCGGTGATAGTGGTCGAGTGAGTCGCTGGGAGATTTTCGGTGACGTCGTGGCGTCCAGCGTGGTGTTTAAAGCGCCTGGGTGTACAACAAACTTGACATTGCCGTCGCTAGCAGAGCGCATTCGTGAATCTGTTGTTGGTGGATACGTTGTGTCAATTCATTTGAGCCAAATCACCGACGTGCACTCACGAGAGCTGCAAGGAGATGAATTCTTTGTGCGCTGTTCTCTAGATACGAACGAGTTTGAAGACGTGTGGCATACAGAAGCTCAGTCACGGGCAGCTGCTCCAGTGGAATGCCCCATTGACTCACCTTGCAGCGAACTCGCGCCATCGTGGTCGTACAATTATGAACAAGATTTGTTCTTGCAGTTTGATCGACTCTCTCGTGACGACAACAGTGTGTTGCTTGTTGAGTGCTGTCGCAACTCAAACCACGAAGTTGTTGCTCGGACTCATGTAAACCTCGCCAGCTTCTTGAACAGTAGCTGTGGCACGAGTAGTAACAGTACCAGCGGAACAATCTCAAGTCGGTTGATGGGTCGACGGAGTCGTAGAAAAAGTAGCTGCGGTGGTGTCCCAGCAGGCGAATTGCAGTGTTACGTGCTATCGAACGACCACCAGAGTTTCTTTGGCAAGCTGCTGCTGGGTCTCACAATATCGTCCATGTCGCATCGATCCATCTCAAATCGATCCTCGGCGTCGGGCCCCCGACACAGTTACAATGATAGTTTTTGCTCAGACGATGGCAGTGTTGATGCTGCATCGCTTGTGCCGCATGAGAGCCAGTCGGCGCGTACGAGCTTTCGCTCGTTCACCAAATTGACCCAGCAGTTTTCGCTTCCTGGAGAAGACGTCATGCACCAGTTCATCATCAACGGAGTACGATACCAGTTGGCAGAGAAGTATCGCATGGTAAAAGTTGTGGGAAAAGGGACTTACGGCGAGGTGATTGCAGCGAGCGACTTTGTAAACGGTGGCACGTTTGCAATCAAGAAGCTTGGTCAGTTTTTGAGGCATCCGAAGGTGGCATTACTGGCCCTGCGTGAGATTAAGCTCATGAGTGAGATTGGCACGCATCCTTGTCTCATGGGCTTTCACGAGTTGCAGCGGCCACTGGACTACGAGCACTTTGAGGATTTATACATTATCCAGCCGCTCATGGAAACGGACCTGTGTCGCATTATTCACTCGAAAGAGAGTTTGAGTGACGACCAGGTGCAGTATTTCTTGTATCAAATGATATGTGGGATACACTATCTGCATTCTGCAGACGTGTTGCACCGCGACATCAAGCCGAGCAACATCCTCGTGAACTCGGACTGCCGAATCAAGATTTGTGATTTCGGGCTTGCACGGCATGCAAACGATCGGGACTTAGCAGAAGGGCTCTCGGAGTACGTCGTAACCCGATGGTACCGTGCGCCGGAGCTGTTGCTGGCTAATGCGTACACAAAGGCCATCGATATGTGGTCGATCGGCTGCATTTTTGCCGAGCTACTGGGTCGACGCATCATGTTTCCCGGGACTTCGTACGTGGATCAGCTGAAGGTCATTGTAGATATTGTAGGTACACCCGCGACCTTCAGCTTCTGCGATAATCCTGTTGCGCGCCGCTACGCTGGACGTCAGTTCCTGATCCAAAGCCAGAAGATCCCGAAAGTGGATTGGGTGCAAGTCTTTCCAGAAGCCAACCCAGACGGACTTGACCTGCTCGACCGCCTGTTGCAGTTCGACCCAGCCAAGCGCATCACAGCCGCGGAGGCGCTGGAACATCCGTACTTGAGCCAGTGGCGTGAGCCGCAGCTAGAGCAGCCGTGCCACGCCGAGGTGGCAACGAAGCTCACGCAGTTTGATTACGCGCAAGTATCGTACGATCCGCAGACACTGAAGGACCTGCTGTATGAGGAAGTCAGCAAAGCTCAGCTTCCGTCCCAGCAGCAACAGGAGCAAAAAGCCATGACCGGTACGCAGCGAAGCAGTCACGACATGTAGAGACGTGAAGGCAGCTTGAGAGCTGGAAGCAAATTGTAGCCACAGCATAAATACTAGAGTAAAGCAGCGAACAAGTGCTTCAAATTGTCGTCGAAGAAGCTGTTGATTGTCTTGACCCGTGGCCGTCTTGCTACTGTCACCATAGCAGCTGCTTGCACGGGAACATCATACCATCGGTCAGGCTGCACACAAGCAAACACCTCGTCATCATCAAGCACAGGTGAACAAAGCAAAGTGGAACATGCATTTTGGTGTTAGCTGCTGTCGAGAAGACAGCGCTGTTGCTGCGTGAGAAAATGAGTGACCAGCGACAGCACTCAAGCCGTTTGCTTGATAGCAGTGGCCAGCTGCACAAACAAGCTCTGGTGGTGCTCCCAATTCTGCTTGACACTTTTCGCGTGTTCAGCGTTCACTCCTTCGGTCTCCACCAACTGCTGCACAGCCGATCCGCCGCACTGCAACAGCGCCTGGAGGGCCTCGGCACGAGCTCGGTCATGTAACACGGCAGACAACGTCTGCACTTCATGGCCAACCAGTGCGCGCTGAAGGCATGCAGTCAGCAGCTCAACAGGCGGCGTAGGCGGAACATACAGCAACAACAGCACCAGCGTCTGGCACAGGCGATCGTCACCTGCATCACTCACTTGGCGTCCACGGTCAATTTGTCCGGACAAAAGCTGATCCACGAGATGAGGCAGGAGGACAAAACGGGCCGACGGGTGCAACAGCGGCAGCGCGCGACTCACAAGCATCTTCCCCTTGGTAGCCGTCAACATCTTTAGCAGCTGCTGCACGTCACAGCTCATGACACCACTAGACGCAGCGTCATCGTCCACATCGCTAGGCTGATGCACATTGACTCCAAGCAAAGCCGCCAATTCCAGCAACAGCGACGTTGTCCGTGAGCGCAATTCAACGAGGGCTGCATCCATCTCATCTTCACCCATCGAGTGGAATTGCTGCACGTTTATCCCGCGAGCGTCAAGCAGGTGGCGCGCATCCTGCAGAGACAGCAAACATTGCATGCCGCGATCCAACTGGAGGCGGAGGTTCCACGTGTCATTGGCAAACACCGAGTTGCGGCTTGCATCTTTGCTCATTCGCAGCACCTTGGAAGCATTGGCTTCCGCAGCGACAGTCTGAGCACCAGGACTCGATCCTCGTACATGCGTGGAGCTGGCAACTTCGCTGCTAGACTCGGCTGCCGAAGAAGAAGGGGAGAGTGCAGTCTTCTCGCTATCTGCGTCGGTGCTCAATGGTGCGCATGCAACATCCTCAGCGTTTGTCGGCGACGAACCGAGAGGCGAGCGAGTTTTATCAGAATCTGCAAGGTTGAGCAACCGCTTGGGACGGTACAGACTACTCTGCGTATTGCGTCCAAGAACGTGGTACTCCGACTCCCAGTTGCGCGACTTGACTTCGCGCTGCATGTCTCGGGGATCAACCGACTTCACATGCTGCAATTTCCACGACGGGAGTGGGACAGCCGGACGACCAGGCCCCCCCACACGTGCTCGCTTTTGCATGAAATTGTGAAAGTAGTAATCATCACTGAACGGGTCGCTCGAGCGCAGCCACTTCATCTGCTGCTGCATCACAAAGTTCACATCACGCGGAGTCATCATCTTGAATGCAGGTGGGTGCATCTGCGGTGGTAAATGCGGCATGCCGTAGCGTCCATACGTGCCAGCATGTCCTGGAAAAGGTGGCTGCATCGGGGGAGGCGGCCCACGTCTAAAAAACTGTGGAGGCATGGGCGGCATTGGTGCCTCTTCTCTGTACACTGAATGAGGAGACTGTCCCTGCTGCATGTACGACGGCGGGCGTGGCATGTATTGCTGGTGTTGGTGATGGGGCGACTCTGGAGGTGGCAGCTGCGGCGCCTTCCACGCGTTTGGCAGCTGCTCACTCTGTGAATAAGGCAGCGGTGGCGCAGGAACAGGAGCTGCCTGTCGCTTCTGCTGTAGGGGGGGAGACACGTCAGGAGCGACCGCGTCGTCATCGTCCAGTCCAAGTCCACGAAGACCCGGCACTTGGCTCTCATCGAGCTCCGAATCCTGTTCCAAGCTCAGACTCAAACCTGGAGGCGGGGCCCGTCCAGCAGCAGCACCAGCAGCACCAGCAGCAGAGCTCGAGGCTCTAGTTGCTGCGGCAGTGGCGGTCCCCTGGAACTTCTCCTCGAGCTTCGAGAACGCCTGCTGTCCTCTGGCCCATTTCAGGTCTTCAGACGGCGACGCCAGTCCCGGTGGAGCGTGGAATCCGGACCCAGCGCGCGGTCCAGGAGCTCCCGCATGGACCGAGTCTCCTCCGGCACGTGGCTTCGACTGGAATGTACCCATAAAGACGGCCGAGAAGGCGTCATTGAAGAAGAGCGACGACGAGCTGCTGGCGTCAGTCGCTCGGGCGCCGCTCTCCACGGGCCCCAGGAGGTCGTGCGCGCGCAGGTCGGCCAGCAGCGACTCGTACTTGGTGTCGTCCACACTGCCGCTGGTGAAGAACGCCGGCAATCCGTCCATGGACGCGCCAAAGAGCGACTCGTCCGAGGCCATGCGCGACGAGTGAGCGAGTGGGGATGAAGTGACCGCTTGAGATCTGATTAAGTATACACGGGAGGAAAAAGACAGGAGACGGATGTCGGCTCGAGGATGCAAAGTGTATACAAGACAAAGAGAGGGTTCGGGCGCTTTGATGAGGCTCGAACTGACGTCACGCGTTGAGTACTTACTCGAACAAGGTGACTCCCCAGGCGACGGTTGGTGTCGCACTTTGGAAGTTGACGAGTGAGCTAAACGATGCTGCGGCGAGGATAGTGCGACGAGCAACTTTAAGTTTGAGCAGTGACTTTTTTTAGCCACTTCAGGTGAGCTTGCTGGTCATGGCTACACATTTGTCTGTACGGACATCTACTGCACCTTGAGCTTCGTAGCTGCTCGTTTCGCCTTGTAGCGCTTCAGTTCACGCACAAGTCCCAGTAGAAACGGCAAGACGAGAGGAGCCACGAGTGGAGCATAGACGCCCAGCATTTGCTCTTGGGGAAAGTAGAGCTGACGGATCATCGTGTGGTCGTAATACGCAGCATCCGTCATCTCGGACGCTTGACGAGCCATTGCAAGCAGACGGTGGAGGTCGGACGCTTCCACACAGTCTTGCGACTGCTCTTGGTTGCTATCACACAGAATAGCTTCCAGCCTTGTCACCGCCATCTCCGCTCGCGTTTGTACACGCTCTAAGACGCTGAGCTCCGGCAGTGCTTCAACGAGCTCTACAGTCGACTGGAGCGTCTCAATTGCCGACTTCATGAGCGTAGCAAATCGTTCCCTCATGACGACATCCAGCTCCCAGTCAGCAACACCATCGACCGGAGAAGGTAGGAACAACAGCTGCCGTCTTGAGATGCCGCCACTTGCTGCATCCTCTTCCCGTTGCCGATACAAGAACGACGGAATACCAAGCAGGATTCGAAACTCCGAGACGAAGAGGCCCATGACACGCTGCAGCTCACGATTCTTGATAGCCAACGAGGACGCAGCTGCATCGTCGCTCGATACGTCGCCATCATTCGAATCGATCATAAATGCGAACGGGTTCAAGATGACGGCAATGCCCCACCGTGGCAGCGCAAATGATGTGGCTAGACCACGCTCGCTCTGCTCTAGATCACTCGGGCGAATGCACAACGGAGCGTGTACAGGATCTGGAAGAGCCGCCATAAAGTGCAGTACTTGCTCTCGATCGTCCAGCACTGACGCGTCCAGATAGTCATTTGCGCTTTTGAACTAGACGACAGGCATCGTTAGAGACACCATCAAATACAATCAGCCCTCGGTCTTCCTGCTATATCATCATCACACGAGCTCGCACGTACATGCTTGAGATCATCAGCGTCAATGTAGAAACCCTCCTTTTCATCACTACTTGGCTTGATCTCTTTTGCTAGTCTCGCATAATGTATCACCTCTGTTTCGACTGCAAAGCTGGCCACAGCGCCAACTTTCTGCACAAATCGGCCCATATACAAATCCACCAGCGTCCGCAGCTCCTCATTCCACAGCGTTGTTGGGTTTTCCTTCAGCAGAGAAAACCGCAGTCGATACTGCAGCGCTCTCCGAGCAGTCATCGTCGTTCCGTCTTCCCTTCCGCTCTTCTTGTCGTCCAGTTGCGCGTAGACATGACTCTGCACCAGCTTCTCGATGGCACGATGCAGAGCGTCTCCCGTCTCCACTTGACACTGCAAAGTCCACGCGTGACGGTACTTCCCGACCGTTAGAAACGGAAGCGAACCCATTGCCATGTCGTCGTCACAAAGCAAAAACACACGGAAGCGCTTGTCCAGCGTCGGCACGAGCGTCTCGAGTGCATCGTCCGTGGCCTGAAGTCCCGATCGCGCTGCTGCTTGCAGCGTCTCGATGTTCTGTGCATCTAGTTGTAAGTTACGCGTAATATATTCGATCTTGGAGCTGCTGGAAGCGAGCGAAGATATGGTTGGCGAGGAGCTCAAGCTGTAGACATGGACCTGGAAGCGGTCAGGACCGCCAAAGCGCGACGTCTGCCACGACAGCTGCTGGATACGTGACAAGGGAAGATCCACACGCTGGACGCGTGTCAAGTGCCACGCCACAGGCGCCGCCAGCAGCGCGAACAGCGCGAACGCGCCGACGATCTGGAGCCGCGTTCCTGCCATGGGACTGTTTATTTTACGCGTTTTTCTATCCCGTATAGAAACGACTTTTGTGAAAACACGACGAATGTCGGTTTTTAAACGCTGACGAAAGTCGGGCTGTTAGAAAAAAGCGGCTTTTTGGGCACCATTTGGGATAGTGTGCGCGCGTGTGTTCAGTCTGAAAGAACAAGTCGACGACGAAAAGAGTGCGATCGACATGGCGAGACGGGAGCCGAACGAGTCCGTGACGGACACGCCCGTGCTGGAAGAGACTTCGCGGCACGATGCGGCTGCTGCTGCTGAAGCGGAAGAAAGTAACAATCGCGGCAACTTTACGCGCAATTTGAACAAAGAGGCGGACCACATCGTGGCCAAGAAGATGTTTCTAGGCGGGTTGGCGTTCCTGCCATGGCTACACTTTGTCAACGTCATTTTCTACCGCAAACAGTTTCTCGACCCGTCGATTGATGCGTCGATTACATTGTGTAAGTCTTGCAGCAATGACATAAAGTCGTGTGGGTTGCTGCAGTACTTGGTGATGGTTTCACAAGTTTGATCCTGTGTGGTGCTGATTACAGGGGTGCGACGTTCCTTTATGGGCTTCTGCTTCTGGACAGTGCTGTTCGTGTCGTGGGTGCTGCTCTTCCAGCTCAATTGGAAGGACTTTGGCTGGCAGAATCTCGTCATGGTCGTGCCAGCAGAGGACGAGAACGCTGGCTGGTGAGCAGCCGATGAGGCGAGGTGGCCGGGACGACGGCACTTCTTTTTTTGGCGCAGTTTAAACTATAGTTCTTTTCTTTTTTCATTCTGCCTGCTTTTTAGCCGTCGTTTTGTAAAAAAGACTTTTTCCACGCTCACATCCATTGTCCGGTGCGTATCTGGTGTATGTTACACCAACATCAAGCACACCCCTCCTTGCGAGTCTGTGTACCGCACATCAACTATCTCGCGCTGCCAACAAAGCAGAGAGGTCCTCAATCCATCGTCCTCCTCCCGCCTGTGATCATGAGCGCCCCCATCATCTCCATCGACACGCAGCATGAGGACATGATCGTACGTGAACTTGCTCTCCATGGTCCACTCCTCCTGCTCTTTTTTGCTCCTCCAACGGCCTCTAACTGACACTTTGCCGTCCATATCAATCTTGTGTACTCCTTTTCGTGTATCTGAATCATTGCAGCACGACGCGCAGCTGGATTACTACGGCAAACGTCTTGCCACCTGCTCGTCTGACAGGACGATCAAGGTCTACGACGTCACGGGTGACGTGCAGAACAATGAGCAGATCTTGACAGGGTACGGACGGACTCGTCTGATTCCTTTTCGTGGCGCCAGGTCTGATAACGTGGTTGATGTGGTGTACACAATGTAGCCATGACGGGCCTGTGTGGCAAGTCTCGTGGGCGCACCCGAAGTTTGGCGCGCTCTTGGCAGCCTGCTCCTACGATGGCAAAGTCATTATCTACCGCGAGCAGAGTCTGAACCAATGGACACAGGCTTACGTCCACGCCTTCCACAAGTCCTCGGTCAACAGCATTGCATGGGCTCCGCACGAGTACGGACTGATGCTCGCCTGTGCTTCGGCTGATGGCATCGTCTCTGTTCTGAGCTACTCGCGTACGTAGCTTTGTACGGGTTACTGGGGAGAGCTGGATTTTTCTGACTCAAGACTGGTGCTGCTGCTGTATTTCTTTCGGTGCTCCTTTTTTGCAGCGGAAGGCTGGAGTGTAAGCCACTTTAAGGACAGTGCATTGGGCTGCAATGCTGTGAGCTGGGCGCCGTTTCACTCGGTTGGATCACGAGGTCCGACAGGCCCGATCCGACGTGTGGTGACGGCGTCATGCGACAAGACAATCAAGATCTGGAGCCTTGCAGAGGGTGAGACAGACTGGACGAAGCAGGAACTGAGCTCTGCTCCCGCACACAGTGACTGGGTTCGTGATGTGGCTTGGGCCCCGAGCACGGGACTACCCGTCAACCTCATTGCCAGCTGCTCTGAGGACAAGCACGTGTACATCTGGTCGCAGACTGCTGCAGACGAGAGTGCGTGGAAGCGCGAGCTGTTGCACATATTTGACGCTCCTGTGTGGCGTGTAAGCTGGTCGACCACTGGCAATGTGCTTGCAGTGTCCTCAGGCGACCACAAAGTGACGTTGTGGAAAGAAACGCTTGACAAGAAGTGGATGTACGTACTCTTTTCTGTCGTCACGATCACAATGTGAGAGGCCTTATGTTGTGGTTTGTCAATACATGCAGTCAAATATCGTCCGTTGACGAGGCTGGCGCCATTCACAACAGCAGCGAGTAGTCCTTTGCTACTGCTGGGAAAATGGCCGCCGCCGTGAGGCACTAACGAGTTGGTTTTCTCGTTGACTTGAGTTCTTTCTGATTGTGATTTTGATTCTGCAAGTGTGGCAAGCTGTAGACGACAGGCGGGCAATCTGTTGTCAGTGTTCGACCATTGAATGGAGAAAAGGAGATAGGCTGCTTGGATCGATGACGTTGTCGGCGCTTAGACGTGTCGAAGAATCAAAGCAAAGAACTCGAACAGAGTGGTACGACGCGTGTACACGACCATGTCACGTTGTTACAAGCGCTTACCGCGCAGGCAATACTGGACACTTCTGCTGCTCTTACTCTCCTACCGCGCGTTGCGCTATTGTCCTGAGCTGCCTGCTCTTGTGTGCCTGGTCTTCAAAGTTGCGCGTCCACCGTCGCTTGAACTTTGCTTCCAGCGCTTGCACGCATTTGTAATGTATCTGGTGTTCATGATTGTAGCTCGACAGCGTCATCTGGCGATCCGACGAACACGATTCCTCCTTCTTCCATGGAGGATCGGACGGGTCCAGTCTCTTGCTGATCAAGGCGCTATGTCGGTGCTCCACCACCCGCAAATAGCCAGCGATCCACACGTCGTCAACAGTCACACAGACCGAGGGAATATCTGCAAGAGCTTCGACATCCGAAAAGAACCCTCGTCGATAGGCGTTGCCACAGCACGCCTGCAAAATGTCCACATAGCGTCCCGTGGGCCGCATGAAGTAGGGCACGTAGGCCGGCACGACACCCACTTGATGCCAGAGAGGCAGCATGCCCCATCCACACACCCCCAGAGCGTCCTCCGGCTTGGCCAGCGCTTCCCAGGCCAGTGAAGCCACCAACTCGGACGGGTACACAAAGTCATCGTCGAGCGTAATGATCAGCGTCGAAGCGTTCGTTTCCAGTCGAAGTGGTCCCAGCAACTTGGTCGCTGGGCCGTCGTCCACGCAGCGATGGATACGCACGGAAGGGGCGAGATTTATCAGTTCTGACGGGATCTGTGTTTCGTTATAAGACCGGGAAGGGTGTCGTTTCATCTTTCCCTCGGGGATATTGACATAAATCTGATCCGGTCTCAGACTCTGAGCAGCCAATGAACGCACGCTATCCATGATCTTATCCAGCCGATTGGGCGTCGTTGTTAGCGACACAACAACACGAAACGGTGGACGCCATGGAGGGGACGCGGGCGGACGGTCGTCAATCGTCCGCCCGTCGTACGCCGTCGTAAAGAGCGCCGTGGCCGCTGGCGAGATGCTGCCGTACCGCACGAGGAGCTGCGTACCGCCCCACGAGAGGAATACGGCGACGCTCAGCAGGAGCACCCGCAAAAGCGTAACCTGACGTAACCACGACGCCCGGCGTTTACTATAGCGCGGCAGAACGGGCTGCTGCAGGAACACGCTCCACTCGTGAGCCATACGAAGGCAGTGGAAAACTACCAGCAGTGTGGGACGGACAGACAGAGAGAGAGAGAGACTACTGATCTGTACGGGCTGGTGGTTTTTTTTTAGTTTTTTTCTTTGCGAAAGTAAAATAAAAGTATCTTTTACTTCCTTTCGATAGTAGACCGTGCACCACGCCGACAACGATCAAAAAAGCGCTTTTCCCTCGCTGGGTGTTCCCCCTTTTGCGACAACCCACCTCCTAAAAACCACCATCAACAACAGCAACAACAATAGCGACGACAACAACAACGACAGATTACTTTCGTACCCCTTCCGTAACCCGCCGTGTCCCTCTCTATTTCGTTTCGTCGTCCGACTACTTCGCCGTCACTTCAGCGCCGCTGCTCGTCCGTCTTCTCTCGGCCCGCCCATTCTTCGCCGATCGTCCGACATGAGGCTATTCGGACGCAAGTCGGCCGCCGCGCCGCCGCGCCCCGGCCCCGTGGCCACAGCCGACACGATCCGCAAGCTCCGCGAGCAGCTCGAGTCGCTGGAGAAGCGGGAGCTGCACATCGTCAAGAAGATCTCGCTGCAGCTGCACGAGGCCAAGCAGAAGAGCGCGGCCAAGGACAAGCGCGGCGCCATCTTTGCTCTCAAGCGCAAGAAGATGCTCGAGGCCGAAGTGGAGAAGCTCCAGGGCGCGCGCATGACGCTGGAGACGCAGGTGATGACGCTCGAGAGCGCGCACGTCAACATGGAGACGTTCACGGCGCTGCGGTCCGGCGCCGAGCAGATGAAGGCGATCCACGGCCAGATGAACGTGGACAAGGTGGACAATATCATGGATGATATCCAGGAGGAGATGGCTACAGCTGACGAGATTGGGCGGGCGATCTCGCAACCGCTCGGTTCCCAGCTCTATGATGATGATGAGCTGGAGGACGAGCTGCGGCAGATGGAGGAGCTCGAGCTCGAGGAGAAGATGCTGGAGCCCGTGGCCGCGGCAACCAGAACGCCGGCTACTTCAGTTGCTACTGCTGCTACTACTACTTCTACGGCTGCTACTGCTACACCTGTGGCAGCGTCTCGACTATCGGAGGCAGAGTACAAGCTGCCGGACGTGCCGACGCATGCTGTCGAGGCGAACTTTGAGTTGGTGGGCAATACGGACGAAGATGAACTCGAGGCGTTGAGGAAGCTCGAGGCGTCCATGGCGCTGTAGCGCGCCCTACTTACCACTGTACGTCGAAAGAGAGAGAGAGAGAAGACAGAGAGAGAGTCGAGAAGAAGGAGTTTGTGGCTTGGCAGCGTTCTTCGCACATATGTATGGCAATAAAGGATAATGGATGATGGTGAATGATGGATATCATCTAGTCGAGCTCGACATCGCGGCTTCGTCTCCATGACTCAATATACATCCGTCTACTACGCGCGTTGTTGTCGCAGAAGCAGATCTATCTCTTGACCCACTGGAATTTCTTGCGAGCCTTGGCCTGTCCAGCCTTCTTCCTCTCGACCATTCGTGGATCACGCGTGATCAGTCCTGCTTTCTTCAGCGCCGGACGCAGCTCCGGGTCAAACTTCTCCAACGCACGAGCAATGCCGTGACGCACCGCACCAGCCTGGCCCGTCATTCCTCCTCCTTTGACGGTACAGTAGACATCGAATCCGCCCACCTGTTCCACCACCTGGAAAGGCTGGAGCACGTCGTCCCGGTGCGTGTCCCGCACAAAGTAGTCGACGAGGTCCTTCTTGTTCACCTTGATGCAGCCCGTAAAAGGCTGGGCAGCTGGCTTGACCCACACACGGGCGACGCTCGTCTTGCGCCGTCCAGTACCGTAAGCACGTCCCTGTGCGTCGAGCTCTTGCACGCGCACAATCTTGTTCTTGGCCTCGTGGAAGGCGATCCGAGCCGACTTGGCCCGTGCCGCCCGCTCTTCCTCGACGCTCACCATGTTGCGAACAGACTGTAGCCATGTGGGCACGCCCTCGTCCGTCACCGCGTCAATGTCGCCGTCAAAGCCAAACCACTTGTCGCCGTCCTGCGCACCCCAGCGCTTCTCGTCAAAGAACTCGGCGTTATGCACCAAAAACGCGTCGAGTCGACGGCGTCGCTCCGCCGTGGAGATCCCGTCTTCGTCGATCGGCAGCAGCTCCTCGCCCTCATCGACTGCATCAACGGAATCGTCTCCCGAATCAGAGACAGAATCCGAATCAGAGTCCGAATCAGAATCTGAGTCACTGTCGTCCTTCGAGGCAAAGAGCTCAGAGGCTGCGACGTTCCGGCTCGTGTTCGTCTTCTTCTTGTTGTCCACGTCGCTGGCCTTGCTGCTCGAGAACCGCAGACGAGGAGCGTACACCGCGTTAGCTACGGGACGAGCAGATGGCCACAGAGCTGCCGTGGCTGGAGCGGGTCTCGTGGCTGCGCGTACGACGCGGCGAGTTGCCCGCAGCAGCAACTTGACGTCCATGGCGAGTCGGTGGGTGGAGGTGTTTGTGTGTGGCGGAGACGGATAGCGGTCGGTGATTGGACGAAATGGGGGATTGGGGGCATGTGGTACACGTATTTTGTTAGTTGGATAACACGATAATTTGTGGCGTAACTTTTGTTACGGACAAAGCCGTGTCCACATAGATTGAGCTAGAGGAAAAGTCGGTGCGACTAGCTGGACCTATATTTGGATCCCGTGGTAGATTTTACTATCGATACTAATCTGTGTTTGATTGTCCAGAATTTGAGAATGGAGTCCGGTCGTGCGAGTTCTTAATCGGTGTAAATCATTTTACTGCGACGTCACAATAAAGCAAACATGACACTGTCATAATCGTGTTCAACGCCAGCGAATACATTGAGTCGGTGATCTTTCTAGAATTAAGCAAACTTTGAGGATTGATTGGTTCGCTATACGATCTGCAACAATTCCTGTAAGTTTAATCGAAGCGCTTTCTTGGTGGGCCGAGCGACGAAAGATTAAGCTCACATGCCCGAAGATTTTACAGCATCTCAATGAAGGGATGGAACTGTATATATTACGAACATGGTCGAGGGTTAGCACGACATGAGTCACGAGGCTTGCAGTCGATTCCAACTAATCCGCGATGTAGTGCAAAGACGGGCGACTAAGGTAAGCATTTGCTGCAACGAAGACGAACAAACCGAACGACACGTGATGTCATCTGAGTGCGCCTTCGATCAATTTCAAAGAACTTTTTCTTTGCAAACTACGATCCAGAATGTAACAAAGTATATCGACTCAAGCTGTAAAGTCAAGCGATAGAAGACCGGTATACCACGGCATTACGATGTGATGGCTTATAAGTCTGCAGCTGCAAAACCACTGCTGTCTACGGGCGAACAGGAACGATTCGAACAAAAAGGAGCTCATCGGAAATTGTAGGTGTTGCGATGCTTCTTCTTGTACCAGTATTTGAAGTAGCGATAATAGGTGCTGGCGGAATGATTCATCTTCACCTTGTCGGGATGCCAGCCAAATCGAAACCAAACATTATGTTTTACCAACTCCCACCCCTTGCTGACACCTTTCTGCACCTTCGCCAATACTGCTTGGGGGTCAGCCCTTTCCTCGTCGTCCTTAGTAAGCGCGTCATTCATCCGCAAAAAGCCAAGGCGGGAAACATCATTGTCCCCGGTTGAATGAATGCGTCCAGATAGCTGGGTGCCGTCATTCGTAGTCTCCGTCCGCACCAATGCTACGGTAGTGTGGATTCCCACGAGTAGAGCCGCGACAGCAAACAGGACACGAACGTGGATGCGCATCAGGGTGTCTTCGTCGATCGTCGAATGTGGAAGTCTTGCGGAATGGGGACTGGTGGTGGCAAAATGGGAAGTGAGAAGCCCGACCTGCACACACCTAAACGACATCACTGAAACTCCATGCAGGGGTGAATGCAATGACCTACACTCGTATCCAGTTTCTACGCAGACTGCTAACATCGATGTGGACGATCGATTGGACAACCGCCGACGACATCAGCCGACATTCAACTTGAACACCAGAAAATGTGCCATGTTTACGAAAGATTTGAGATCAACCACAACTGTCGGCAGTCTCAAGTTGGGCTCCATCCCGCACACAGGATGGGGCGGGATTGGCCCAATCGCGTCCCATCCCGCGCAGGACGAGATATCCCGCTGGACACTGCGAGACGAGATCTTAAATCATTTTACCCTGAATGCATTTTGAAACGACAAGATCTGTGTGTGCACATGGGCGCCTCCGAATGCGCTGAGGGTGCAAAGAATGAGGATAATGATCGAGCGGTAAAATCAATCGCAATGGGATCAAGGATTACCTTCTACAACGAGTGTAGGAGCTGAATGCCTTCTTTATCAGATCCTATTCGATGCCGCCGGTTGCGTACTGATGCAAGCGGGGGTCTTCTTAAACCTGGTGGCAACAAATTCCATGGTTGACCAAAGTATCAACATGAATGCATTTAAGTTCTAGCGAGTAGCGAAGTCCTTAAGCATCGTCTCGGCGGAAATCTTTCAGTCACGCGACTGCTTGAAAGCGATCTTGACGCATGGTGGAATAGTACAACCTCTTGCGAGGCTTTTAACCGACAAAGGGCCAAAAGAAACGCACGTTTCCCAAAACTAAAAGCTTCAGCCCCACATTGGAAAAAGGATGTCCATACGGATCATCCCTGGGGGCAACAACATTATCTTTACGAGCATCTACAAGTGTCTTGGTGTATGTCTTGGCAGAGAGATGGAATGATCTCGGTAAATAAAGAGTTGGTTAATGACGACATACAATAAAGATGAAGCTTTTTTATTACCTTCCGTTGATTCTCATAGGAAGAATGACATGTGCAAAAGATTATTAGAATCCCGACGTTATGTATAGTTAGACAATCAAAGAATGCGGGATGAGCGGGATGCGCAGAATGGTAACGGCCCATCCCGCGTCACATCTTCGCAGCGTCCTGTACCGCGGATACTGCATCCCATGCGGTCGTAGTCCTCAGTCAGAAGACCCAGCGCGACATGGATGTTAAGCTTCCGTCACTGGGGATCTGGAGTGGCTCATGCAACAGGGCGACGTGAGCCAAATATCCGAACCCGTTGGCTAAGGAGTGCGATTATTGTGTAGCGCACGTCGGATGAGTCCATGATGCAATTGCGGTTCCATGCAGCTGTATCTGTGCCGCTTCGCACTACTAGCAAGCCCGACTGGGCAGCAGTTTCTTTCGTGCCAAAGTTCAGCGTCAATTTCAGCCTGTAGCGAAAGCCGCAGAGATGGTGAGTAGACTTTTGCGGCGGGAATAGGTACTTGCAGCTGCAGCTAGAGAACGGCACGGTCCAGCGGGAAGCAGACGAACATCAATCGGACAAGCAGACAGACGGATGTGGTCGGACTGCCATTCGTCCGGTTTCCACCCGTACTATCCCATTCAACTTGTTCGAAGCTGCTGCCGACAGTTGATACCCTGTAGAGGGCGATATAGGTGCTGGAAAGAGAAGGAGTGGATCCCGGACTTTGGCTTCAGATACAAGCCAATGAGTGACTTGAAGTAGCGCACATCCTCCATGCCCCCAACATCACGATCTCTATACCGTTTACGGACGTTCTACGATCAACACATCGTCGGTGCACGGTATCGGTGTTAGGAGGAGATTCATGACCGTGTATCTACCAGGTATAGGTCTTCCTTAACTATCTTATAGCCTTGGTGGACTTATTTCGTATATGTTAGTAGAGGTTATTAGCTATCCGACTATGATGGTGTCGTTTATGGGGAACTAGCCCAATTATATTACACGAATAATATAACAAACGTAAAAACGTTTCTTCAGATACACTATCGTAAAGTCGATAGCAAATGGATCAAAAAGTGAAATTATCATCCAAAATCACTCACTTCTCTTCTACTCCCGCAATCTACCGAAATCAGCCGACAATAGATCCAGAGACCACTAACACATGTCCTTCCTCACTTTTTGTTTGCAAAACTGGTTTAGGTTGTGCCTGTGCGGTCAGAGACACGTACCATCCTGGTCGTTTGCTGGGGTTGTCATTCTTCGTTGGTAACATAGTGTAATTATTGGCCGGCTATCCGTTGAATTTTAATTTCCGCTATTGGAGAGGATGATGGAGTTCAGCCAGAAATCAATAATTAAGCGATTGTGGAAGCAGTGCATGAGGAACTGGAAGGAAAGATGGTGCCGAAACAGAGGAGTAGGCAGCTACAGATAGGTTGTGTAACGGGGTAGCCCGTTACGTGATATTGACACCAAAGTGGGTCAATAGGAAGATTGTCTAGCGTAGAAATTCCCCGCCAATCATATCCGAGATGAATAACATTGAAGGAATATTATTCCCTTTTAGGACAATATTCATGTGCTGCTCCAAGATTGGTTGGTAAAGACATATCAACCATGGATTGCCACCAATCGCTGCTGGGCGCGCGCAATGAGTGGTGAGCAGGTTGTCGTCATACGATGACGTAGTTTAACATAGTTAAATAAAGATTAAAGTTATATTGATGCTTAACTATATCAAATACAGTTCCCTTTTTACCTTTACTTAAACAAGCTGTTTGAGTAGATTAACTTCCTCTGCACGTACTAGTGTACGTGAAGTTTCATGGCACCCCAAACAAAAGGGTGCTCCGTTACACCTGGTAGCACTTCGTAGTCCGCCCAACGACTACTTAGTGTCCGTACAACATGAACATGTTGGACGTAGAAGACGATATCTTTCACGTCACACGTGAAGGCTACTCCCATCTGAGTGACTCAGAATGGGATGTAGTCGGCCGCATGAGTGAGCTCATGGGCGAAACCGCCATCAATGGCATGTTGGAGTTTCTAAGCAGAGACCAGCATCGTGCTGCTATCAGCAAGTTCCTACAAGGGGAACTTGCCGTCGAACGACAGAAGATAGCCTTTCTACAGCAGCAAGGCTCTCATCAGTCGATGGGCGGGCCGGCGCACATGCGTCAACCCGAAACCTTAGAGATTGATATCTCAAGGTATAAGGGAACCGATGAAGATTCTCTTTCGAGATGGTTCGTCGAGTTAGACGATGTCGTCCGGGCCCGTCACATCGAGGGTGACGAGATGCAAGTCACCTTCGCCCTATCAAATTTGACGGGACGAGCAAAGACTTGGGCCTTAGGGCTCAACCTTCACGACCCAAACGTGTTTGAGTCGTTGGAGATCTTAAACCTCGGCTTAAAGAGACGTTTGAGCCGCCGAGAGACGAGTTCAGAGCACGCTCTGCACTCTTGAGGCTAAAGCAAGGTAAGCGTGACGTGCACGCTTACGCACAGCACCTGCGCTACCTTGCGAGTAGCGTTACAGAGAACCATGTTGATGAGCACACGCTCATCAACGTGTTCATCTACAGCCTTGAAGATGGACCGGTGAAGACCTACATATTCCGAGAGGACTTCCATACGCTGGAAAAGGCGATAGCGTATGCGGAACAAGAAGACTTTATCATGAGACAGTATCAGGCTAACGCGTCAAACTATCGTCGGGCGAGACGACAGGAAACAGGAGGTCCCGAACCAATGGACCTATGTAACATCGAGAGCAAGTACTCTCGCTCTCGAAGTCACAAGCGAACGGCAAGATACCATTGCTGTCAGAAGTGGGACACTACACTAAGCTCATGAGTGTAGTGTCCCAAGCACCGCACCACGTCCAAAGACAGTACATGATGGCCGCCGTTGGACACGGAAAGGTCCAAGGCGCGGATCTGACCATGTCGCTAAGCCACGATAGCAAGTCGGACCGCCAAAAAATGGCTAGGGTCAGTAGGGGCGGAGCACCCTGCTGATCCAGCAACGTCAAGAGAATTTGAAGGAGTCTTAACGAAAATTGCTATCAACACACAGTCGATGTGTATTACTGCCCTTAGTGATGAGGAGTCCCTCATCACTTTGAAGATCGAAGTGACATGTGGAATGTCACTTCGCGCCCTAGTTGAATGTGGGGCGTCGAACAGTTTTATTCGACGCCAGTCGCTAGGGGATAGTAGGCTCGACTATGTTGAGCGAGAGTTCCCTCCAACGAGGATGACGGTGTGCCTTGCAACAAGCGCATCCGTAAAAGTGAACAAACGTGTAGTGGGAATCCACTGAACGCTAGAAGGAAAGCAGTACGATGATGGCTTCATAGTAATAGATTCGGATGACAAATTTGATGTCATCCTCGGTCTGCCATGGCTTTGAAAATATTAGCCATGGGTTAGCTGGCAGCATCGATCCGTGAAGATGCCTGCCGTTTGTTCATCAAATGGCCATCCGATGAACTTCTTGGAACGTCCACAAGCGTGTGGATGTACTACGAATGGGTGCGATGGCATCAGTTGTGGTACGGTCGTTAGTACGATTGCACAAGATCACAGTGTAGATTGCCACTACACTGTGGCAACAGCTTCCGGCACCTGTGTAGAGACACAGGCTGCGCCGAAAGTTCACCACTCGAAGACATAGAGTGGACTGGAACACGGATGCATACCAAGAAGGGTGTATGCAAGAAGAGATATTAGTGGTGTTCAGGATGAACAACACGTTGGAGCAAAACCGACTAACAGAGAGTATATCGTAGAGCAAGCCCGATAGACTTAAAGAGAGTCGATCGAAGAGGACGTGACCGTGGTAGTGCACCCACCGTCAGTATACGTATTGGAAGAAAAAACCAGCGTTCCTGAGAGCGATAACTCCCGAGAGAGTTATGTTGAGGGTGTGGATCCCCAACCACCTGCGGATGTGTTTTCACATGAAATCACCGAGTCAGTGAATCTCTTGGTGAATGACGGATCAAGTGTAGGCGCTTATACACTTTATCTGGTTACGCTCCCGAATTCAGCTTCGGAGGTAGTCAAGTTGCCCACGCTAGAATCTAAAAGATTCTTGCGGGATCTGCGTAGTGACAAGATCAAGCAGATCTGCGTACTCGTCACAGAGGACGAGGACGTCGCCGATATTCGGTCGGCACAAGTGTTTGCTGAGAACG